CCTCCCTCCCTCCCTCCCTCCCTCCCTCCCTCCCTCCCTCCCTCCCTCCCTTCTTCCTTCCTTCCTTTCCTCCCTTTCTCATTTTTATTTTTGAGACAAGGTTTCTTTGTGTAGCCCTAGCTGTCCTGGAACAAGCTTTGTAGATCAGGCTGGCCTTGAACTCACAGAGATCTCCCTGCCTGCCTCCCAAGTGCTAGGATTAAAGACATGCACCACCACCACCCAGCTAAGATGTTACATATTAAACTCATTAGAGATATGGCTCAGCGGAGGACCTGGGTTCAATTCCCAGCACCCACATGGCAGCTCACACCTGTCCATAACTCCAGTTCCAAGTTCTGATCCTTTCTTCGGGGCTCCAGAGGCACTGTACACCCACAGTGCACGGACATACATGCAGGCAAAGCACATATATACATACAATAAAACTAATGGTAAAAAAGAATCAATTAACTCCACTGGAGTCTTCCTAAAGGGCAGATTAGGGAAGGGGCAGAGGTAGGATGATGGGGAGAAAGTGGACGGGTGGGTGGGATAATGATGAAAAGTAGAGAATGCGTGGGGAGGGGCAGGAGGTACCAGGAGAAGGAAGGAGTAAAGGGTTGGGGTGGAGGGCTGTGGAGAAACTACATACCTCTGAGCTTCGGCTTGGTGGTTGCAAGTCCTTTAGGTCCTTAGGTCAGGATCTTTACCTGGGTTGGAGGGGGAAGTACTGGCCCTGACCGAGGGAATGAACGGTTTTGCTTTGGATGAGCCAGGCTGTAGTTGCTAAGTGAGAGGTCTTGTTGTTAAGTTTGTTGGGGGACCTGGGCATCTGCAGACCTTCGCAAAGGGACTCTGGCCCGAATTGAGGAAGGACAGTAAAGGGAAGGGACAAGAGAGGTCCAGGGCCGATGAAGGATGTACTTGACTGAAACCTCTAGAACCCAGACCGGGAGGGGGGGGGCTGGCATGGATCTCCAGGGCAACCGGAACGCCCAGTAGTCTCCATTGCAACAGTAGTCTGGTCATCTGCGTGGGTGAGGTTTCCTGAGGGGGCTGCTTTGGATCTAGGTGGGACCGAAGTTGAGTGAGTCTCTGTGTAGGCTGTGCCAACAAATGACTGGGAGGAACATGTTCTGAGAGGAGCCTGGTTATGTGAGTTTCTGGAAGGTTCCTGTATCATTCTGGCGTTCACTGGATGCTGTGGGGACCTAAGAGGTCACCCGGGTTCTCTGTTAGGGTGAGGAGGTTCTCAGGTAGGTAGCCCAGCAGGCTTCAGTTAGAGGCCAATAGGATTTGGTGGGGGCGGGCTCTGCGGAGAGGGACCAATCAAATAGGCGTAGGGCGGAGCGCCAGGCGAGCGTCACGCCGAGGACGCCGCGGGGCCTGCTTATCGCCGGTTCAGCGCAGCCCGGAGTCGCCCAGGCCTGAACTCCTACCCAGGTCCCGGTGACGACCCCGGGCCCGCGAGGACGCCGGAGGCCACCCCCCGGGCGTGGGGAGCGGAGCCGCGGGTCAGCTCTGCGAGCGTCCCGTGCTGGCCTGGCCGGCCCCGCCCCCGCCCCGGGCCATGGCCCAGCCCTTGTCCCGGCCCCTCATCCTATCCCAATCTCAGCTTTGGCCGTCGGCCACGCCCTCGCCCCACTTCCCAAACCTGCCCCGGCCCCGGCCAATGTCCCAGCGAATGCCCAGGACCAGGTCCCCGCTTCAGCCCCAGTCCCTGCCTCTGACTTGGCCGCTATCTCCGCCTCGGCCCTTGTTCCACCCCTTGTCACAAATCCCAGCCCAGCCTCTGACCCTGTCCCATTCCCAGCGTTTGCTTAAGCCCCTGGCCCAGCCCCAGCCCTTGTTCCTGTCCCCATTTCCCTCACTCCTCCCAACACATCTTCGGCCCTTGTTTGAGCCCCAGTGCTCAGTCCAACGCAACCCAATATCTCAGCCTTTGCCCCCATCTCTGTGTTTGCCCAAGTCTCTTCCGCTGGCTCCCCGCCTCTCTCATACTCTGCCCCTCTCCCAGCCTCGACTCAGGTCTGGGCTCCAGTTGCCGCCAGCCCTATTGCTGCTGTTGCTGTTTTCTGTCCTTGGTCCAGGGGCTGGTGAGTGCGGAAACAGGAAAAATTGAGATAAGGTTGGGGTTCCGGGGAGGGAGGGCTTGGAAAGGGTTGGGAGAGGTGGGACTTGGGGAGCTAGGTCACTGGGGACGTGGGAGGAAATAAGGGGAAAAGGGCTTACACAAGAGATGGTTTGGCGGACTTCAAGAGTGGTGTTGCTCAGCTGGTTCAGCAGGTGGCTAATAGTCCCCAAAAAGCTCTGCGAGATTTCATTTCTTGGTGTCCATCCTGACCCCTTGGGAAGTCTTGGGGGCTTTACTCCTGCGAAATTCTATGACATAGTCCTATAGACTAGGCACTTAAGTTCTAGGTCCAGACATGGCCTAAACCTTTGAGATGCCAAGTGCATATTCCAAACAGTCTTGAAGACAATATGTTGCACTGCATAGATGGATGTGGGTTAGTTGCTATTATAATGAGCTTTCTTCTTGTACTGGGTCTTTCCCCAAGAAAGCGCCACTGGGCTATGGATAATTTGATACTTTTAAAGCATGGCTGAACCTCAGCAGCATTCTACAGATGGGGAAACTGAGGCTCAGTGAGGGCGTAATTTGTTTAGAGTTGTATTGTATGTAAGTGGCAATCGTGGGGCTAGAAAAGAGGGTTCCTAGGGTTCCTAGTTGCTGTGACATACTGGTTGGCTCCCTCCCGTCCCCTCTCTCTCTCTGAATACCTTCCAGGTTGAAGTATTCTTCCATTGGCCCAGAGCATAATCTCTTGTCTCTCTAGTCTGTCTGCCAGGAGGCTTAATTCATAAACAGTTTCTCATTTGTCAGGTGTCAGTCTTTATCCAACGCGTAGCCTAGGAAGTCAGTTGGTTGGGAGGAGTGGCCCAGCTTCTTAAAGGCTAGACCAGACCGAGGGAAGCAGAGACTGCTCCAGCCTAAGGGCAGAGATGACCTCAGCCCCAGGCCACCTTTGCTGAGTGGCACTGGGACTGAGCCGTGCTCAACAGTCTTTGGCAGTAACATCTGTGGACGGAGGTGGGTTTCATTGATCTCCGTGGGCCGGCTTTAGTGTACAGCTTGAGGTCAGCGCATCCTGCAGAGATGTGTGGGTGCTAGGTACCTGTGTGTATAACAGGGATCTGTGGGAATGGTGTGTGTGCGGCATGTGCTCATGCTTACATACTGGTGACATGTATTTTATCTGAGTGTACACGAGCTGACATGGTTTTGGAGTGCATACATATGTCATTGTGTGAGGGGCAGGGGACATGTGATGTGGCCCACACACTCTCAGCTTGGCCCACTCCTCTTATGAATATATCACTGAAGTGCGGCTTGTGGAAGGAAGGGCCCAGGGTGGAGGAATGGACATCCATTGTTGATGACTGCAGAAACAGCTGGCAGTCAGGTTTTTGGTTTTGATGAGGGGAGTTTGCACACACTCGTATGATTTAGGTGGTGGGAAAGCACCTACATGTTATTGTAGAAGGGGCGTCAGGACAAGTTCGCTGGGACATGGTTCTGGTAGGCCCTGTTCAAATCCCAAATCAAAGAATGAGGTGAATAGGACTGTTTCCCAAGGATCCACCCCGCCTTCAAACTCCTTCTAAGTTCCTCCCAAGCTCCAAGCTGCCGCTCTCTCCTTTTCCTCCAAGCACATCCTGTGACACCCACGGCTCCCATAGCCTCCGGTTTGCTTGGAATTGGCTCGGCAGTTCCCTGATTCTCCAGGCCAAGTAAGCTCTTTGTGTTTGTCTGGTGCTCACTTTAGGAGGAGCAGCCTGCCCTAACCCCAGCAGAGGGCACTCCAGAGCTCTTTCTTATTGCTTGTAACAATGGTATTCAGGGCTGCTCAGTTTGGAGGCGGAGCTGTCTTCTCCTTTAGCTAGTCCCCCTGCCCCTCATCTGCTTTGGATACCTCCCCACCACTGTCTGAGTGCAGCTCTGAGCCTTTGGTTGCTGGGCAGTGCAAGCTGGCAGTTTCTCTTGTTGAGATTGGTCTTCGGTTGGCACAGCAGTCTAGTCCTTTGGTGTTGTCATGGCCTTTGAGCCACTCTGGCCGGTGGCTTCTGCTTGTATAAGGTACCTCTGGAGTGTGACTCTTCAAAGGTGCCCCAGTTTAGTGTGGCCAACCTGCTGTCTTTCAGCAGCCTCCCTTTACTGATGCCCCATGTCTCTGTTACTTTAAATACCTCATTTTAGGGGTCATGCCCCCATCTCCAGGAGTAGAGACCATCAGAGTAGGGAAGCCATGTGGGTATTTCCTGTGTTGCTGAACTCTCCCCTTCCAACCTCTGCTGTGTCTGGAAGACACCTGAGTCCACCCAGCTTTCCTCTTGTCCAGAGACATATTTCTGGGCTTCTTTGGAACTGTTTTGAAACGGGGGGGGGCGCAGGCCATTGAGAGAGGAGAGACAGAGACAGAGAGGCCATGAGAGTGCTTTATATGGGGACACTGCCTGCACTCTGAGCCACCTTCTCCTGTCAGGTGTATCCTGTTACCTACACTGCCACGACACTCCTGTCCTATGTGCATGCCTGGCTAGGGCCTGTGGCTTTCCTGTCCACCCTGAGCATTTCAGCTAGAGATACACACACACACACACACACACACACACACACACAGAGAGAGAGAGAGAGAGAGAGAGAGAGAGAGAGAGAGAGAGAGAGCGCGCGACAGAGAGCCTGTTCTACTCCAAATATTCCCAAGTAATTTAGGGTGCCACTTAGTCACCGAATGACTGCCTTTCAGGACCTCCTCCTGGGAGAACACCCTGGCTACGCATTTTGACCCTAGAGCATCTGATCACTCTCCTCTCTTGGGCACTGTCGTGGTGGCCTGCCAGCTCCTGTTCTTGACTCTGCCACCCAAGCAGCTCCCTTGCAGCCTCACCACACCTTCCCCTCCCCTCTTCTGCCCTGAGTTGGTATACAGACAGCTCTTGTGAAGCTTCTGAGAATTTTTACTGCTCCTAACCACTGGGGCATAGAGAAGGGCAGAAAACAAACAAGTTACAGAGTTCTGTGCTGACTCCCAAGCCCCACAGGTGGAGTTCTAGCTTGCTCAGTGGCTTAAGAGCCTATGCCAACACACACACACACACACACACACACACATGCACACACACTTGCACACCCTGTTTTGTTAGGCTTGGTGAGAGGAGAATAATACCTCCTAAGTCAGTGACCTTGACGTTATATGAAGTGTCCTAAATTCTTAGTTTTCTAATTTTTTGCGATAGGCATTTTTTTTAAGATCAAGGTTTTGTGAGGAACAAAGCAGACACTGGCTAGGTTAGCATAAACCCCAGCTCCTGGCTGGTGAAGTGTGCTTGTTGGCTTGGTGCTGTTGGTGAGGAAAATGGGCTCGCAACCAAGTGGAAATGCCTTTGTCCTCCTTTCCGCTGACTCCCTTCTGCTTCCCAGGAGGCCTTTTCCTGACCGATTACTCCACCTGCTCACCCCGAAAGCTCAGCCCATTTCGCTCCTTTGCCAGCACCGAGCTCTTCCACTTCCACGTTCCTGAGGACACGTTCCTGGCTGTTTGGAACCTCATCATCTTCAAGGAACAGGGAGGAACCTTTGGAGACCACTGCCCAGATCAAAGTGTGACTGTGTGAGTGTTTGATCTGTATCCCCAATTTCCAACCCTAGTTACTTTCCAAACTGGAGTATGACATTTTGAGGTCTAAACACGCCCCCTGACCGTGACCTTGACCCTTATCCAGGTTGAATAAGGCCTCCTTGTCACCTGACTTCATGTAACTACTGTGGATACTTGAACTGACCTATTGCCCCTTATGAACTCCATCTCTTCCTGGGATAATTCTGTGGTATATGTCAGTATAGGAAATCTGTTTGTTTACTAGTGACGAATGACAGTTTTTTTTTTTTTAACCCCTATCTCCTAATTCCTACCCCACTGCTCTTCCTTTCATGTCACCCAGGTATTTCCGCTCTGGAGCGCCCCCTGTCATCAATCCCCTGCATACACACTTTCCAACAGACACGGCTGTGCCTGGGGTTTTCTCACTCACCCTCAGCTGGACACTGCCCAACAGAACCTCAGGCATCTTTAACGTCAGCAGCCCCTTACCTGGGGACTGGTTCTTGGCTGCCCACCTTCCCCAAGCCCATGGCCACATCTCTGTCAAGGTGGGTTGATGCTCCCTGGGACAGGAGGAATCATATCTTCCCACCCATTGCTGCTGAGTGCCCGCTGGCATCATAGCCTTTATCAGAGCTTATCAACAGCACCGGCATGGCTGGGACGGGCACTATTACAGCCCAGCAGCTTAGCTTCGGGGAGGTCTGTAGTCGAAAACTGGGACATGGTGATTCTGGGTAGGTTGAAGAGAAACTACAAAGTTCAAAATCTGCCATACAAACACAGCACTGTTTTGTTTTTTTTTTTTTTTTTTATTTTTGGTTGATAATAGCCCTGAAACGTCTCCCAGGCCACATCCTTGTCTCTAGCTCAGGCATCACGGTTTCAGGTCTCTCCTTTGCCCTCTGAGAAACCATGAGAGAAAGTTTTCCTAATAAAAGAAGCTTTAGATAGCTGACATCCTTCCCAACCATTACCTTCCTTTCCTCTGGATGTCAGCATGGACTTTAACACAGTGGAGATTGTCAGGTTGAAGGGAAGGGCCAAAGGTCAGGATGTTTCTTTAGTTTGAAGTGAAAGACAATACCACAATGTTTTCCTGCCCCTCTGGTGTGTTAGACAAGTTGGAATTCCTCCTGGGAGTGAGGAAGTACATAGGTTTCCTCCTTCTGCCCATTGCAGGAGAGGGAAGGCGTGGTGAGCTGGCCACTGTTAGTCTGGTGGCCGTGTGTATGTTGAAGGACAGAGAATGAACAGGTGAGGATTATAGAGTGTTATAAAGTAAGAGCATTAAGCAAGAAAGCCAGTGGTGTTTGGCCTTTGAGGATTAAGAGGGACAGAAACTCCCAGCCAGGTGAAAATTGCCTCTGAATTGGCATAGCGTCTTGACCAGTCTAGGCTGAGTGTTGTAAAGTCCATGAAGACCTGGGAGCCCTTTAGATGAGAGCATGCTGGGAGATTACCTGTCTCTGGACTCTTGATTTCTGTTGAACTAAGGATTTTTATACTAGGAAGAATGTCTTCATTGATCTTTGGTCAAATCTCAAAGACACTGCCTCTTGACTCAGTCATAATCTTGTCTCATTTTGTAAGAACTGAGGGAAGGATCTTCTAGCCCAGTGGTTCTCAACCTTCTTAATGTTAGATCATTTAACACAGTTCCTTATGTTGTGATGACCCTCAACCATAAAGTTATTTCATTGCTACTTCATAAATATAATTCTACTATTTTAAATCATAATGTAAATATCTGATATGCAGGATATTTGATATGTGACCCCTGTGGGGCTTGCACTTCGCAGGTTGAGAACCACTGGGCTAGAGGCTTCTTCCTGGACTAGAGTCCAGCTCTTGTTCTAGGTATCATGCTAAGCAAGCAGGAAGCACAAGGAGCCTAGACCTAGTAAGGAATGTGGAGCTGAGACCCGGATAGGCATGGCCAGGATTGCTTGGGGATAGCAGTACAGAGCAAGGCTTCCTAGAACCTGGTGCACGATTCAAAGTGTCTAGATCACTGGGGAGTGAGAAGACAACCAGGCCTGGTGTACATGTTTCCATCTAGAGAGAGTTTTCAGTCCCAGCAGGACTTGGTACTGCAAATGGAGGCCTAGACAGCCATGCTTTCTGCAGTGTGGCGAGACCAGAGAGAAAGGACACAGTTTGGTCACTGGAGGCTGCAGGTCTGAGCACTGGCAAGTGCAGCTCTTTGGACGTGCCTGTTCTAGAGGTTGGATGGGCAAGGATCTTGGATGTGGTTCTTCTAAAGTGTTGATTACCTTCTTAAATCATACATGGGCCTCTAAGGATTCTTTAGCTCCTCGATCCTGGGAAACTAGCCTTCTTCCCTCCTTTAGTCTTGAGTTTCTCTCCCTGTAGATAACTAGTATCCAGATTTCAACTCCTTCCGCATATCATTCTTTCCTCCTTGACTGGTCTTGTCTTGGCGTTATGACTCCCGTGTTTTGTACCAGGCCTTTTCTTTTGGGCCACCAACCAGCTCCCAAATCATGACACAGAGACTTCTTATTAGTTTTGAATGCCTGGCCTATCTTAGGCTCATTTCTGGCTCTTTAACTTAAGTTAACCTCTTTCTTTTTACCTGCCTTTTGCCTTGGGGCTTATTACCTTTCTTACTTCAGTATTTCTTACTTTTACTGCTTCTCATGTCTAGTTGGCGGCTGCCTGACTTCTCACCCTGGGCGTCTCCCTCATTCTCTCCTCTTTCATCTTTTTTTCTCTCTAGATTCCTCCTCCTACTTATTCTCTCTGCCCGTCAGTTCCTCCTATTCCTCTCCTGCCTAGCTATTGACTGTTTAGCTTTTTGTTAGACCAAATAGGTGCCTTTAGGCAGGCAGGGTAAAACAAATACAACACATCTGTACATAGTTAAACACATATCCTTACATAGTTAAACAAATACAGCATAAAGAAATATAACACATCTTTGCCTAGTTAAAATAATATTTCACAACACTTTTTTTTTCCTGATGTTTCTGCTTGATCTGTGTGTGCTGTTACAACCTGAGGCTTGGTCTCAGAAGAACTCCTTTTTGTTTTTCATTCTCTTTTTTGGTGTCTATGGCAGAGTTGTTTTAAATACTGTCTATGCCTCTTAAGAGTAGACAGCCAGTCTTATATTCTTTGAATCTCAAACTATATCTGTGAGCTTTCTTGACACCTTCAACTGCTTCTAAGAACAGTCTCAGGTTTAATATGCCCCAAGCAAAGCAGAGCCCCAAACTCTGACTTCTACTTCACTTCCAGGCTTGGGGGTCTTCCTTCTGGTTGTCTTCTTCCCAGTAGATAGCCACTGCCCACCAGTTGTTCAAGCCTCAAATGTGTCATCACTCTTGAGTCTTACTTTTCTCTTGCTTCCCCATGACCAGTCCCTAAAGTGTGTTCCTCCGCTCTCAACACATCAGCAGATGCCTCTCCACCTAGCGCATCTCCAGTGCTCTCCTGTACCGCCATAATAGTGACCTCCTGAATGTCGCTGTGCTTCCTCTCCCGCCCCTGCAGTCTGTCCTGTTGTCACTCACTCCTACACTGATTGCTGTTGACTGACTGAGGACAAGAAACTGGGGACAGGGGAAGCTGCGTGTCCTTAAGTATCTTCAGTCTGCAAGCCTGTCATAGTCAGAGTTTCTCCTGCCGTGGAGAAACAGAACACCGTGACTGTAGCAGTGTGGAGAGGAAGGGGTTTCTTTCAGCTTACAGCTCTCAGGTCATACTCCATTGCCGAGGGAAGCCAGGGCAGGAACTCAAATAGGGAAGGAATCTGGAGGTGAAGGAGCTGATGCAGAGGCCATGGAGGAACGCGGCTTACTGACTTGCTTCCTCTGGCTTGCTCAGCCTGGTTTCTTATAGAACCCAAGATTACCAGCCCAAGGGTAACCCCACCCACAGTGAACTAGCCCCTCCCCCACATCAATCATCAATCCAGAAAAAGGCACCTACAGGCCAGTCTGCTGGGGCGCATTTTAACAACTGGGCATGGTGACTCGTATCTGTAATCCTGTTTCTAAGAGGCTGAGGGTGGAAGATTGGCATGAGTTGTAACCAGCCTGGACTACCAGGTGAGGTCAAGGCTAGCCTGGACTACAGAATAAGACCTGGTATCCTCTCTAAAGAACAAAAAAGAAAAGACATTCCCTGTGCCCCACAAAATAGGAGGAGTTCCCATAGTCCAAAGCCTTCTGCTAGGCCCTCCACCATTCTTGGTTTCTGCTTCATATTGAAGAAGAGACTGGATGTTGAAGGAACACAGCCAGAGCATGCCTGGTCCTATCCTTTCCTGAACTCAACAGTAAGCATGGGCACAGTGTTTCTTTCCCTCGGCTGTGAGGCAGGTGCATACCAAACATGAGACTGCCGTGGATTCCTGTGTTCAGTGGGGTGGTGGACTGGGGGTCCTCTGAAATGTATTGCCAGAGTATTTCTGATCCATAGGGTTTGGCATGAGAAGTGAGGGACATCTGCTTTGGATGTCAGAGATGGAAAATTCTGGATAATTGTATCACTCAAGGAACTCTCTTCTGGGCACCCATTCTTCAGCTTGACAGCTGTTTTGTTTCCAGCACCTCGGATGTGTCAGGTGGTGTGCTAAGCATCGGGAATGAACAGTGAGATGGAAGGGCAGGGCGGCTGCCTCTTCGCACAGCACTGTGGTCAGCCCAGAACCCAAGGCTTGGCCAACTCATTCCATGGCACGAAACATGGTGGAATGTCAAAGCCTGGAACTTTCTCCCAGAACAAGGCTTTGGAGGCACATCTTATCAGAACAACCACCATAACAAGCCATAGTCTCTAGTTTATCAGGCCAACCAAAGGCCTGGTCTACAAGGTTAGCGAAGCCTCATTCAGAGACCCTTACACCCTTTAGCTGATGGGTTTGTGGGGCGTAGAAGAGGTCGCTGCTGTGGAAGGAGAGCTGTGACGTTGAGTGACAGGGTTTCTGGGAGGGGGCTCTCACTATAGTAGGGCGGGGTCTTGGGAGCTTGTCCAGTACAAGAGAAGCCTTGGGAAGTGTGGTGGCTGTCCTTCGCTGTCCAAAGAAACAGTCTGAGGCCGTAGGTCAGGTCAGAGTAGCTGTGAGGGGACAGATTTTGGCTTCATAAAGGTCAGTGCTGTCTGCAGCTGGGCTGATTCATGAGTTTGGCAGACATTCATGGCAAGTTGTGCAGAGCATGATAGGCCTGTGTCGGGTGGGCCAAGTCCTGTTCTCAAGTTCCAAATAGTCTGGAGGTTGCTTAGGGGGTAGTAAGTAGTCTTCATGGCATGCTGGAGCAGAGGTCAGACAGACACACGTCAGAAGGGCAGCCTAGAGAGCAGGAACAGTTAAACTAGTGGTGGTGGGAGGGTTGGACCAGAGGCCTAGGAGGAGCTTTCCACGCCCAGAAGAGCCAGTAGGAGTTGTGGGATGGGATGGCTTGCTGTGCAGTGTGTGCGGGGATTGCTGGCTAGCAGTGTACCAAGAGGAGGGCTGGGCTGGGAGAAGGCACAGCAGAGCCACAGCATCAGTGTTGTGTCCTTGAAGACCCAGATAGAGCAGAGGTGACCAGAACGATGGGCCTGAGAGCTGAGGGGACGGCTCAGGGGGTAAAGCACTTGCTTTACAAGCACAAGGACATGAGTTCAGATCCCAGAACCCACATAAAGCTGAGTAGCATACGTCTGGAATCCCAGTGCTTCTCTGACAAGATGGTGGCGGGGACAGGAGACTCTCCGGAAACTCACAGGCCAAGTTGGTGGGCCAGCTAGCCTGGCTCATACAGCTGCAAACAAGATGAGGCCTGCCTCAAGCAAGGGGGAATGAGGAGACAGATCTGAGGTTCCCCTCTGCCATGTGGCTGCACTAAAGTAAATGAACACACACAAATAAAAAGCATTTCTCCTTGGAAGAGGCTGTTCCTGTACTTGGTATGTCTTTCTTCAGAGTATCTTTTCCCTCAACCCTTGTAGTTAAGCCCATTCTAAAATATTTTTAATACAAAACTTAATAAAAATGACTACTCAGGTAGGAAAAGTTCAGAACTTAGCTCCAGAATGGGAGCCCCGGGAACTGGAGGATAAAGGGTTTCTTCAGGACCCCTCCAGCAGGTTACGTTAGCCTTGGTTTGGAGTGTTCCCACTGTCTCTCCTGCTACCCCTTTTTGTTTCAGGGTCTCCAGGACGAGTGTCAGTACCTCCTTCAGCCACAGCTGATTGTCCGACGTTTGCTGGATGTGGCTGTACTGGTTCCTGGCCGTCCCTCAGAGCAAACTCTCTCCCCCCACAATCGTTCAGCCTTGTATAAGTGAGTAAACACTCCAAACCTGCCCTGCCCTTTCCTCCTCTGGTCTTACACAGGGATCCATCTTGCTTTCCCTCTAGCCAAAGTAACCCAGAGTCCCCAGGGTGGGTCCCATCCAGTCTCCCCTCCCCTCCCACTGAGGAAGATCTGAGCGGGCCACCTGTTCCTTCCCTTTCTTCTGTTTCTCTCTCATGTCTCTTACCTCTCTGTCTTTTCTTGCCCCCAACCTGTCCTCTGTTCAGGGTCTTTGTGCCCAGCTTCACTTACAGGGTTTCAGCACAACTGGTGTGTGTAGGGGGCCGAGGGGCATCTGCCTGCCCCCTAACACTGCGCCTACGTCCCAAGGCCCCACCACTGCACAACTCAAGCTCTGTGGCCTGTGGAGGTGCCTCAGTATGCCAGCTGGAGTTGGCCCTGCCCCCCTGGGGGCACTGGGTCTATGTGCGTGTGGAGACACCATCCCGCGGCCCTGGCAGGATCATCCGCTTCCAGCTATGTGTACGGTTACAAGGTCAGAGCCCCTTCATCTGCCTCAACTCCCAATCTGTGCAGGGATGTACCTGAGGTAATCTGGATGGCTATGTTCTGAGACCCTCAACCACATCCTTACAGTTTCCTCTACCCCACCCAGACTTCAGGTCATTGGGTAGCCTTCATAGTGTGTCTTTGTGCCTGACTTGGGACAACTAAAGGCTTTCTTTCTTTCTTTCTTTCTTTCTTTCTTTCTTTCTTTCTTTCTTTCTTTCTTTCTTTCTTTCTTTCTTTCTCCCTCTCTCTCCATCCCCCTCCCTCCCTCCCTCCCTCCCTTCATCTCATTTTCAGTGTCCTGGGGTAGACAGGGCCAGCCAGGACTTGAGGAGCTGCTCTTGCCTCTTGCCTCAGTGCTCACAGTCATCAGGACAGTGCCTCCCATTAGCTTATAGTACAGTGTTTTCACTGCTTTGAGGAGGACACGTGTGATCTTAATTCCTCTACTCTGACCTTGGGGAGGGACAGGTGACTACAATGTAGTGACTGAATCTCTGTGACAATTAGGAAACATCTGGACCCTGTGCCATGGTCTTGATGCCTCCTTTCTCCAGGCCCATTCTATTTTAGTTTACATTCCTTCCTCCCCTTTGCTAGCTCAACAGGAGATGGGCTCAGTTCTGGTCTGTGGTGGGGGCTATGGGGCTGTATGGACCTCATGTCTCACCTTTGGTTTCTTCTCCTTCACAGAGTGTCCACAACCCAGCCTGTCCCGTGCCTTGGTCCCTGGGGCTGCCATGAATATGCCCCAATCACTGGGCAACCAGCCACTGCCCCCAGAGCCACCATCCCAGGGGACCCCTGTAGAAGGGTCTGCAGCCACATCGCCACCTGAGCACTGCTGGCCAGTGCGTCCCACTCTGCGCAACGAGCTGGATACCTTCTCTGTCCACTTCTACATCTTCTTTGGTCCCAGCGTGGCTCTTCCACCTGAGCGCCCGGCCGTGTTTGCTCTGAGGCTGTTGCCAGTGCTGGACAGTGGCGGTGTCCTTAGTCTGGAGCTGCAGCTCAATGTGGTACTTCTTGGGAAGGGGTGCTTCCCTGTTGGGGAGTCTGAAGGAAGGTTGCAGGCGTGCAGGGCCCTGCCTCCTTCTGGCGCTCTTTCCAGGTCGCTTCTGTGCTTTGTTCTCAGCCCCCACTGCCTTGTGAGAGCTGCGCCAGCCAGGACACAGTGGTCCAGGGTTCTATTTGTAGGTTGACCTGTTAGAGGGCTGATGACAATGGTAGTTCATTTCTGTAACGAGAGGCCATGCAGCCTGTGTTCAGACAGCTCCTGTAGCTAGTGGCATTCCCGATAGTCTACTAGGACTGCTTTCCTGAACTTCACCCACTGACTTTGTTCTGTCTAGACGCCATATCTAGCAAATCCGTGTGTGTCCTTGTTTGTAGTAGTAGATTCTTTTAGAGAAGTTTTAGATTTATAGAAAAAAATGAACAGTGAGTAACTGCTTGGGTCTGAGCTAGCTCAGAGGATAAAGTGCTTGCCTTCCAAGCACACACCTGTAATCTCAGCACTGAGGAGGTGGAAACAGGATAGTCCCTGGGCCAGCCTGGCCTAATTGGTGAGTTCCAGGTCAAATGAGAGGCCATGCTTCAAAGACAAGGTGGATAGCATTTGAAGAATGATACTTAAAATTGAACTCTGGCCCACACATGCATGCACACGTGCAGGTGCAAGCACACAGGAAGACAGTACAGACCCCATTCATTACCTTACTGCTTACATTCACCTTACTGCTGTGCATTGGCTACAATGCTATGCTATTTTAGCAGCCCTTTAGCTGTTTCCATTGCTCTCTCAACAGCTGAACCCCTTCAGTGTCGGGGACTCCGGTGTTAGACTTCCCTCCACCCGACACTCATCCCTCTGTTCCACTTTGATTGGCCATCATGTCTCTGAAAGTGATAATCTGAACTGGTGTGACCAGTGTGGCAGGCAAACTGTTTATCCGTTTATTTATTTATTTTTCACAGTCTCACTAAGTAGCCCTGAGGGCCTGGAACTTGCTATATAGACCAGCTGGCCTTAAACACAAAAGATCTGCCTGCTTCTGCCTCCTGAGCATTGGGATTAAAGGTGCACATCCACACCCAGGCAAGCCTTGACTTCATACATCTGGAGAACAAGTGGTTCTTTAAGTTGTTGCGTCACACTGAGCTCATCAGGGATTGTGGTGGACTAAGAACCCTGGATCTTTTTCATTTCTTCCAAGTATTTTGATCTTTCCCCTGGATCAAGGACTATGTAGCTGGGGACTGCTTTGGGCTGTTCCTGTCTCTTTCACTGAGTAGTACTTCTGCATATTGCCTTCCCGGCCTTCCACTGAAGGACGTGATAAACCACTCTTGTGCTTGAGGACAGGTGTACGTTCGCAGCATTGTCTGGTGAGAATTCAGCTGAAGAAAGGTGTGTGTGGTGGCATACACACATGATCCCAGCACAACGAGGCTAGTCAGAGCCTGGGTCAGTTATATATAGTGAGTTACATGAAATGCTACCACAGAAATATCAAAAGTAATACTAAGAATTTAGCTGAAGTCCACCCTGGAGACTCCAGCGAATCTAGATGTGCTCACAGATGAGAGACTCCTGGGGCGCCTTCTCCACTTTAGTCAAGTACATAACTCATGTCTAGGGACAGCCTTATTTTTCCAGCCTGATTTGAAATGTTCTCCTAAGCCTTTATTTTTACCCTAATTTAATGTGTCAGGCTGCCTCAGATCTTTCTTGAGATGAATTTGTGGTGTCCCGTTCCTCCCTCAAAGACAGCCACCCCTTACATCCACACCTGGGGATGTCTGTGTTCTTTTCACCCCAGTCAGATTGCTCCATTTAATCTCTCTGGCTTCAGCTCCCTCCATTTGTACTTGGGTCATTTCACTTGAGGAGTGCATTTTCTTAATAAGCTTTCAGCCCCAGGGCTAGGGGGCTGAGAACGTTAAGTTACCTTCATCTTTTGCTGGTATCTACGTCTGGCATCAGATAGGATGAACCAAGGTGCCTTCTCTTCCAGAGGGACGATTCAGAGTCAGGGCTTGCTTTGTTGTTAGACTTTGAGAGTCTGGCTGTGAGGATCTGATGGATCTCTGGCTCCTACTGAGTAAGAGCACAGCTTTGATGGATTGATCCCTGGAGGAGTGGGCCCACCCAGAGGAGAATGGGACTTCCAGCCTTAGGGATGGGAGAAGTGACAGGTTTAGGGTGGCCCACCCCAAGGGTCTGACAGCCTCATTTGCATCTTCACCCTGCTCAGAGTTCCCTGCACCAAGAAAATGTAACAGTGTTTGGATGCCTGACTCATGAGGTGCCCTTGAGCCTGGGGGATGCTGCTGTGACCTGTTCCAAAGGTGGGGATGGGAATGGGGAATAAAGGGAGGCTGGGTTCCCAGAAGTGGGTTCTAACTCCGTGCTGACCACTTCTCTCTCCTGGGCTCATGCTTTCCCCTTTAGAGTCCCTCTCAGGTTTCCTCCTCTCAGTCAGTGTCACGTCCAGAGTGGCCAGACTTCGAATTCCTTTCCCACAGACGGGGACCTGGTTCCTGACCCTCCGCTCTCTTTGCGGGGTGGGACCTCGGTGAGCAAGAGCAATAGGGGACATAGCTGGAGCTGGGTTGGGGATGGCCCTGGACTCAAATAACCAGGAGCGTGTATGCTCGCAGGTTCGTGCGATGCCGCAATGCGACGGCTGAAGTGCGGTTGCGCACCTTCCTGTCCCCATGCGTGGATGACTGTGGGCCCTATGGCCAGTGCAAGCTGCTGCGCACCCACAACTACCTGTACGCGGCCTGCGAGTGCAAGGCTGGTGAGCGGGCTGGGGTGGGGAGCAGGTCAGACTTGGCTTGTGCATGGGGTGGCCAGCAGGGGTGCCCCAAGGCACTGGGTATGAGGACAGGCATGAGCACAATTGTCTGTTGAGCCAGGGGTGCCTTCTGCCCTCCTCCACCCTGTCCCTTCCTTCCCTACTTGCAGGGTGGCGAGGCTGGGGTTGCACAGACAGTGCCGATGCGCTCACCTATGGATTCCAGCTGCTGTCCACACTCCTCCTCTGCCTGAGCAACCTCATGTTTTTGCCACCTGTGGTCTTGGCCATTCGGAGCCGGTACGTGCTGGAAGCTGCTGTCTACACCTTCACCATGTTCTTCTCCACGGTATGTAGACAGCGGCACCTCTGCTTCTCTGTTCTTACCGCAGGGTGGGGAGAGGCTCCACGTTTCCACCACATTCTCTCGGTTTGAAGATGACTGGACCTTCACTATGTCTCCTAGAGCAATGCCCTGCCCGCCCCCAATAACGTGTGTAGGAAGTGACTGTTTTGTCAGGCAGCTTGTGGGATAAGTGGCCAAAGCTGCTTCCAAGTCAGCCTCACAGGTGTGGAGCGTCCCAGCCCATGTGGAGGGAGAAGAGATATTGACTGGATACACGGAATGCAATGTGGGATTGGGTGTTCACCGTTTCTCTGTAAGCCAGCACAGCGTCTGTCACGGGGTCTCTCCATGGAGTCTTCACTGTCTCTGTGGGAGGCTCCCCTGCTCAGCAATCTCCATGTTCTCTCTCATCATTTGTGAAGTAAAGTTCTAATCTACAGACAAGGTTGGCCTAAAACTCTCCATGGAGAAAGTAGGGGGTTGTATGTCCAAGTGAGGATTGTGGGGACTTCCAGGTACTCAGCTATGAAGAAGGCAGAGGAGGCTGTAGCCATGCTACCAGATGGGACCAATGCACCCCGGTTTAGCTGGCTCCCTTTCAGGCCTGGTCTGAGAGTCTCTTTCTATTTTTGTATTAGATTCTATTCCTTCTTATTACCAGGTGCGCTGTCTACTGTTACTCACAGAGCCCCTCCCCCCCCCAACAGCTGTTCTGCCAGCCCACTCTTGGCCTCAGGGAGATCTAAAGTGACTCAGAATTAGTAAGAACACTTTACTACAGCAGGAACTGTACAGAACTGAACAGAACATCCATTCTGTCCTAGAATATTCTAGCCCAGATGCCTCTTTGTTATCTAGATACGGTACTAACCTGAAAAGGGACCAAGGAGGAACTGGAGGAAACTCACTCCCTCACCCTGCATGAAGAAACCCCACTCCCTTTTAAAAGATCTATTGTTTTTACTTGGTGTGCATGAATTTTGTGCACCCCATCCATGTGTGCAGTGCCCACAGAGGCCAATGGGTCTTCTAGGACTGGAGTTACAGGAGGTTTTGAGCCATAGTGTGACTGCTGGGAACTGAACTGGGGGCTTTTGCAAGACAGCCTGTGCTCTTAACTGCCAAACTCTTTCTAGCCTTAACCGTTCTTTTTTTTTGGTGGGGGGTGTTTCGAGACAGGGTTTTTCTGTAGCTTTGGAGCCTTTCCTGGAACTAGCTCTTGTAGACCAGGCTGGCCTCAAACTACTGGGATTAAAGGCATGTGCCACTACCACCCAGCCCCCTCTGTCTTAAAAAAAAAAAAAAGTACAGGAGTGTGAGAAAGAGCTGCTGGCTTTAAGTCTGCTACTGAAAGTCCTGCTCTATGTGTTCTTTTCCACGTGTTCAAAACAGAACTAGCACACCTTTAATCCCAGCACTCGGGAGGCAGAGGCAGGCGGATCTCTGTGAGTTTGAGGACAGTTTGGTCTACAAGAGCTAGTTCCAGGACAGGCTCCAAAACTACAGAGAAACCCTGTCTCAGAAAAAAAAAAAAACCATAGAACTAGTATCCAGTTTTCTGGACACAGGGTTCCTATTGTCTTTTCTTTTTCATTCTTAGTTTAGACACAGACATGCCTGTTTAAGGACTTGTTGGTTAGTTTGTAGTTGACATACAAGGATAGTAGATGAGTGTCCTCTTCCTTGTCTTAACATAGGATAGTTTACCTCTGGAAGTGGTGCTTATCTGGGGTACAGGAGCAGTCAGCAAGACTATAATCCAGGTGCTTATAGATATAAAATATATTTTTGAAAAATATGCCAAAAACCTAGCACTTGGTTCTCTGTGTAGCCAAACATTCCAGATAATGAGGACAGAAACTGACAGCTATTGAATGTACTGTGTAACATTGCTTATCAATTCTCATGACTGCACTAAGATGATAGGTGGCCGTGGCCGTGAAGAGTGACGCTGTGGCCATGGGACAGCATGGCACTCACGCTAGGATACCATATGGTGAAGGGACATGGCCCTGCTCTCCAAACCATGAAGAATTAACATCTGAATATGGATTCATAGCACATTACTTGTCTCCTGAGCATCTCTTCCTGACCCATCCTGGACAGGATCTGACTGCTGCTCAGGCTGGCCTAGAACCTACTATGCAGCTCACTCAGGTTGATCTCATCCTGAGTGCTGTGATTCCATGTGGCTCTCTGGCTATTCTCCTCTTTAGTGTCAGATGTAAGAATACAAGCCACTAAATAATGTAGCAGACATCTGTTTCTGATTTGCATTTACTTCTCAAGATTAAGTTTACATTCCAGGCTTAATCAGCATCTTACACCTGCCTTTGAAGCACACAGAAAGGAGGAGGGGCCTGTGATGACTCCTCACACAAGGAGTGGGGGACCAGTGTCTGAGCTGCCAGATACGCTTGGCTGTAAAGCAGACCAGACCTCACTGCTATTTTTCTCAAGAATAAGTGAATCAGGGCTGGAGAGATGGCTTGGTGGTTAAGAACACTGGCCGCTCTTGTAGAGGATTGGGGTTTGATTCCTAGCACCCACATGGTGGCTAACAACTGTCTGTAACTCCAGTTCCAGTGGATTCTATACCCTCTTCTTGTGCCTTCGTGGGTACTGTGTACATGTGGTACGCAGACATACATGCAGGCAAAACACCCATACATATAAATCTTAAAAAAAAGAATGAAGGAGTCAGGCATTTCCTAGTATTGTTCACCTGTGACCTCTGACCTCTACTTCTCTGACAGAGGAGTAACCCCCATCAGGTCTTTCTTTGGTTTCATAGCCCTGGACTTGTGGCCTCAAGGTCTTTTAACGCCCGCACTTTCCTTTTGCAGTTCTATCATGCCTGTGACCAGCCAGGCATTGTGGTTTTCTGCATCATGGACTACGATGTGCTTCAGTTCTGTGACTTCCTGGGCTCCTTAATGTCGGTTTGGGTCACCGTCATTGCCATGGCTCGTTTGCAGCCCGTGATCAAGCAGGTCAGTGCAGAGTGGGTCCTGGGAGACAGCCATAGCTAACCTCTATTTAGAATCCACTCATGCCCCCACATCCTGGCCCAATCTTGGAGTCCTGTCTCTGTAGGTGTTGTATTTGCTGGGGGCTATGCTGCTGTCCATGGCTCTGCAGCTTGACCGGCATGGACTCTGGAACCTGCTTGGACCCAGTCTCTTCGCCCTTGGGATCTTGGCTACAGCTTGGGTAAGAGTGGAGAAGCCTGTGAAGGGCAAAGGAGGGAGCAGGAGTGGATACAGGGCGCTGGCCATCTGGTCCCCAGTTGAAGGTAGCCTTGCTTTCTGTTACCATTACCTGCTGTTCACAGTGGCCACTCAAGTCTTGGCAGGTACCTTTAGGTCACACGTAGGGCTGAGGGGAAGTCTGAACTGTCTCTGGCCTCATACTCTAGAGCCTTGTATTCTAGGGCTTCGTATTCCTGAATCCCACTTCTCTGCTTCCCCCAGACAGTTCGCAGCGTCCGGCGCCGGCACTGTTATCCGCCAACATGGCGCCGCTGGCTCTTCTACCTGTGCCCGGGCAGCCTTATTGCAGGCAGTGCCGTCCTTCTGTATGCTTTCGTGGAGACCCGGGACAACTACTTCTACATTCATAGCATTTGGCATATGCTCATTGCTGGCAGCGTAGGCTTCTTGCTACCTCCTCGTGCCAAGACTGACTGCCGGGTCCCATCTGGAACTCGGGCCCGGGGCTGCGGTTACCAGCTGTGCATCAATGAACAGGAAGAACTGGGCCTTGTGGGCCCTGGAGGGGCCACTGTCAGCAGCATCTGTGCCAGCTGAGAGGGGCTTTGGGCCAGGCTCCTAGGGGTTATGAACCCTGCCTAGGGTTCCTCCTGGGGCTGTGGAGCCCTTCTAGGAACAAGGGACAAGTTGTGTTTCTTAGAGGCGCACAATCTTTCTCAAGGATGACTGATTTCAGGGACCAGGAGGCCTTCCCAAGACATGGAGAATTTCCTGAGAGCCCGGAGTCCTCCTGTTCTTCTGGAGTCCTTCTTAAGGATGAGCTATGCAGGACACAGCCCCTCAGGACCAAGGAGGACCTAGGGGTGCGGAGCCCTTCCCAGGGATAGGAAGAGCTCCTACAGACATGAGATACTTCTCAAGGAGACAAATTGTCATCAGGAATGAATCATCAGTACAGAGGGAAAAGGAGTCCATCTTGGAGAAACACATCACCAGATTTTCCCAGAGGCTCTGCAACACTGGCCACTTCTGGACTGTGCTGTGCTGGGCAGAGGGCTGGGAGAGACAGCTGGGGCGGGGCTAGGCAGCTGGGGTCCTGATTTGATGCAGGTGGAGTCTGGTTTGTCTCCAATGAAGTCCATACTGATTCTGTGCTGCCTTTCTTTCCCCTCCTGGGGCCAGGGTGTGGGGAGATGGAGTGAAAGGGACACCGAGAAAAGCGTGAGAGTGACAGGACCTTCCTGAAGAAGATGCTGGAAGCTACTGTCTGTGACTTCTGCCTATGGCTTGCACACCCACATCTCTCTTATCTGGTTCCTGTGTTTAATTCCAAAACTCCCTGCTGTCCATTTCCTGGTTGTTGTGGACCCTAATCTGTGGCAGTGAAGAGGAGAGTGCGCATGCGTGCGTGCGTGTGCTTGCTGTGTGTGTGCAGAGATGAATTCATAAGACAGGCTTCCCCACGACGCCTACACCACAGAGAAGGAAGCTAAGGTGCCAGGAAAGTGGAGCAACAGGCACAAATTTCAGATGTACACGGCGCTATAAGAATGGAACTACTATTTTAAGCTTCCATTTTTTCTTGCATGCCAGAAATAATCTTGTATGAATTTAGATTTCTTTTTTTAGTGTGTGCGTGTGTGTGTGTGTGTGTGTGTGTGTGTTTCCGCACGCACGTTCGTGTGTTGCTGTGTATATAGTTTGTTCTGGTCTTGATATCATGATCCTCGGGGTCCTGGAATTACAGACATGGACATCATGCCTGGCAGCTGAACTCTTTCTTCCCCCATGGGCTCATAACTGAGTTTTGAGGATTTTGTCTTATGCTAAAATACTAGAAGAATTCTTTCTGGTCCCCAGGGTCTCTACTTCATCCATTTTCTGAGAGCGCTGTCATCCCAACTGGTTCCCAGTCAGCAGTCAGACAGACTGCTAAATGCTGAGCCATTTTTTTTTTTTTTGTTTTTGTTCTGTCTGCGTATCTCCGAGTGTCTGCCCCCAAGTTGTGTACCATGTGAGGTGTTTGTACTGGGCTACCCAGACACAGCATGAAGCCAGTTCTCTCCCGGGGTCCTATGCAGGGTTTTACCTGATAGGGCAGAAGATGAGTTGTTTTCCCTGTAGACGAAGCTGGCTCAGCTCTGGCTTCTTCAGGGAATCTGGGACAGCGCTCATACTTCCCTCCTCTCGCCCCTCCCTCTTGTCAATCTGGAGGAGACAACCTCACATTTGGACGGAATCTTTTCTCTGTGCCTTAATCCTTTCTATTCTCTCCACGGCCTAGGCCTTTGAAGCTCAGAGCCTGGGAAATACCACTTTATTCTTTACTCTCAGCAATCAGATCGCTTCCCTGAGGCACCGGGTAAAGAATAAAGTAGCTGACTGAGTGGCAAGGAGTGAAGGTGGATGGGCCTGGTGTCCGCTCCTGTATCAGAAGTGCTGTTCTGGGGCCAGGTGTGGGGTGCACACCTTTATCCCAGCACTCTAGGGGTAGGAGCTGGCGAATTGACTTGAGTTCAAGCCAGCCAAATTTACATAGGCCCTCTCTTAAATAAAAATGGTTGGAGAAATGACTCAGTGGTTAAGAGCATTGCTCCTCCAGAGGACTGGAGTTCAATTCCCTGTACCCAGTTACAGGATAAGATGCCTGTAACTATAGCTCCAGGGACACACCACCTCTGGACCCCATAGGGACTTTTCCACACAAGTACACACACAGACACACATACACCTGACTAAAAATAATAAACTTTTTTTAAAAAGAAGAAATGCTATTCCTTACCTTATCTCTGACTGTACATACCGCCCTGAACACACCTGAACCTGGATGATGAGAGAAGCTAAGCAGGGCTGGCCTCATTAGTGTTGGATGGGAGATCAACTATTCTCACCTGAGATAGGTAGGTTAGGCCGCGAGGACAGTTGACCCAAATAGCCAGGAATCAGGACGGACTCAGCCAGAGTGTAGAAGGCAATGAATGGGTAAGTGAGTGGGGTTGCCACATTGCCAAGCTGTGGGGAAAATTTCTCTGTGGTTATGAGTGCCCATCTTTGATTCCTTTCCCGAGACATTCATTCTGTCTGGTCCCCAGTCACTAAAGTACTTAGGACACTTAATATAGTGCCCAACCTGTTGCACATATGACAGACAATGGTCACGGCGTGTTTGGAAAGGGTTTCGATGATGGGGAGTGGGAGAGGCAGGAAAGACTGGTGTTTAGGAGCTGCGAAGAGGTGTGTGCTGGGTTGATGAAGGCAAGCAGCTGATGATGCTGTGGACAGATGGGTACTGTGGGCTTTACAGGGAAACGGGAATGAGGAGCCACTGGAAACATTTAAGCAGGAGAATGGGCAAACCGTTTCGATGGCTGGGGGAAGGGTGTGTCTGGGGGAAGAGCACAGTGTCAAAGCTGCCACACTAACTGAAATGGAAACAGTGAGGGCTTATTTACATGGCTCCCACAGGAGGAGGAGACTGGCTCAGAGCTCCAGGAGGCAGACTTCAGGGCACCTAGCGCCCAGTGGCACGTGGTGTGTGTGTGTGGGGGGTATGAAAACCCAGGAGGGCCTCTCTTTTTTTTGGCTTGGGTGATTGTGCCATACCCTGATCATGGTGACACACTTGTGATTGAGGAGGATGAGTAGTTTGGGACATTTTGGATTTGAGGTGTTTGTTGGATTTCCAGGGGAACCAGCAATAAGACAGGACTGGACCCTGAGTTGTCTGCTGACTTGGATCATTGGGAGAATCTAAGATCCAGCAAGCCTAGCCTGCCTTGGACACATGGCTGTGGTCAGCAGTTGTTACTGCTTCCTTGCATGTATCTGTACATGCAACCACACCAAGTTCACTGCTTGGAGCATGCCTAAAAACATGGGCTCATTATCACCTGGTGGTGATGTGAGAACTTCCATGTGACAATTTAGTTTCATTGTCATGTAAGGAAAGCCCCATTAGAGCCATGGGGATGAGTTGGTGGCACCTTGCCCCAAAGGAGCTCTCACGTCGGTAAGGATGGGATTGATCCTAGTGAAGGGTCCCAACAAAGTGCCGTAGGATGAAGAAGTCAGCCTCCAAATGCATCGAGAGAACCTATGAAAGAGGTGTGATTCCTGAATAGCATGAGGAGAGGATTGTGGGGGCGGTAAGATGACGTCATGAGAGGCTGACCCATGTTGGGGGGGTCATGCTGAGTGTGGGCCAGATTCCTAAGGGCCTTGAGGATTGAGCCAAGAACTTTAGACTCCATACTGTGTCCGTGGGATGCCATGAAAGGTAATGTGAGGAGTGTATTGTAGAGATTGTGAGTGGTTAACATACTTAACCCCAGAGTGCTAAATTGTATCAATGATGCATTAAGGAATGGAAGCAAAACGCTTTCACTTGACTTAAAATTGTTCTTATTTTTTGAGATAGGGTCTCTCTGTGGAGCCCTGGCTAGCCTGGAACTCACTCTGTAGACCAGGATGACCTCAAACCCATGAAGATCTGCCTGCCTCTTCCTCCCCAGTGCTGGTATTAAAGGGATGCATATACCATGCTCTGTTCTCTTGGATTAGTTTGACCCACAATGAGCCAAAATTTGAAATCTTCACTCGTCTGTCTGTAGTTTATAGTTGGTCTATCTATAGTCTGTCGTGTGTGTGTGTGTGTGTGTGTGTGTGTGTGTGATGTCCTTGTTTCCTGTTTGTTCTATGTCTGAATGTGCTTGTCCTTGTGTCTGTCTGGTCTCTGACTGTCCTGTGTCTATCTCTAAATACTGACTTTGAACTATATTTTATAGAATAGCAAAGACAGTATGGCATTGGGCAAAAATGAGGGATTTTTACCAAAATCTTAAACAGGGTTTTAAAAAGGAAGTAATTTTACTGCTCCCAACTGACCCAGGAGAGTAAATGAAACCACACAAGAGCTAGCCACCTCTATCCACATGTTGCTCTCAGCATTTATGGTGGTCTTCTGTCTTAAAGTTGCTTCCAATGTGTTAGCTGTTTTCAGAAAATGATCACCACAACATACGTTATTCTGGGTCAAGGGCATGACCAGTACCTACCAAGAGCAAAGCTATGGATTAGCTTAGGTCGAGAAGCTGATTGCATGTGAAATCCAAGTCCTATTAAGAATGATTTACCTTGTCCTCTAAAAGGCAGGTTAACTTTTTTTTTTTTTTCAGAGACAGGGATTCTCTGTAGCTTTGGAGCCTGCTCTGGAACTTGTTCTGTAGGCCAGGCTGGCCTTGAACTCACAGGGATTCACCTGTGTCTACCTCCTGAGTTCTGAGATTAAAGGCATGAACTGCATCTGCCCACCATACTTAATGCAATCTTTTTTTTTTTAAGATTTATTATATATACAGTGTTTGGCCTGCATGGCAGAAGAGGGCACTAAATCACATTACAGATGGCTGTGAGCCACCATGTGGTTGCTGGGAATTGAACTCAGGACCTCTGGAAGAGTAGCCAGTGCTCTTAATGTCTGAGCCACCTCTTCAGCCCAGCAGGTTAAACTTAAAAAAGCCAAGTAGGACAGCAGGTTAAGTCCCCAGTCTTAAATAATCTCAAGGGATAGTACTTACGTTACTAGAGGCCTGCCAACAGTTCAGCCTTTGGAGTTCGAGATATGTTCGTACAATTGTTATCCATTAAGATTAGACTTCCACAATCATAGCAGTAGTTAAAGAGACCTATTGAGTTGGATCTCTGCATTTGGCACTGGGCCTGAAGCTTTTACAGGCCCTTTGGACTGGCAGTTAAGGGCATGAGGGAAGGACAGTAAAGGTGGGTTAGAGCTGAGGAGACAAATGAAAACTGTGTCCAGCTCAGTTGACACACACGGCCTGGAGGAGAAGCGGGCACCTTTTGGCACATGGCCACACTTGGTCCAGCCTGAGAACAGCTCAGGGAGGGGATCTGACTAGAACTGGACGGACCACGAACCATGGGATTCAGCATATTAGTGATGGGAGTGCTCCTGCAGGGCTGGGTTGTGCTCCCTTTGGCTTCCACATTTCTGTATATGTCCCATGGGCAAGTCTAACCAAACCCATATGAAAATGAAATTCTGGAAAGCACAGTGTTAGCCTCGTTCGGCTGTCCTGGCACAAAGCTTTTGTGAGTAAGCTAACCAGAGCTTTGCTGGGGTGATGAACCCAGTATGCGTCTGTGAAGAGAGATCAGGGCAGAGGAAACCAAGTCTGACTTCCTCTGGGGCTGACTCTCTGAGTCCTCTTTTCTCTTCCAGGCTTGTGCCAGGCTGGGCTTCTCCCCGTTTGTTCGATGTGGCCACCTGTGGGCCAGTGAGATGAAGGGTGGGAGCAGCCTGTGCCACTTCTCAGTGGAAGCTGTGAGAGCCCAGGCAGGTTGGTCATTGTAGTCAGCTGCGTTCTGGATTAAGCTGTGGTCTTAAGTCTCAGGAGGGTGATGTGGAGCAGAACCCCAGCCAAGCTTAGTAGACCCGAAGCGTGAGTGAGAAACAAACCTTTATGGTTTTTAAGCCACTGAAACATTGAAGCCGTCGCCCCAGGAGAACGTAGCCTCTACTGGCTGACAAAGATAGAGGCTAGGAGTTAAAAGTGGGACATTTTCCTGGTGATGAGACCTCCCTGCAGCAGGCTGGTCACAGCTGCTTTCACTTCCGTGTTCCTCAGACTGTAGATGAAGGGGTTTAGTGAGGGTGCCACAATCCCATAGAATAGTGTGATAATCTTATCCACGCTGGGGTCTTTGGCTTTGGGCTTCAGATACATGAAGGAGATGGTCCCATAGAAAATCACCACCACTGAGAGGTGGGCAGAGCAGGTGGAGAAGGCTTTGGTCCGGCCTGCAGCAGAGGGTACCCTAAAGATGGCAGCCAGGATGAACGTGTAAGATAGGCATATGAGCAGGAGTGGGGCCATGGTCAGGACAGTTGTAGCCACCGTTAATATCAGTGCATTGAGGGAGATGTCCCCACAGGCCAGTTTCAGCACGGCCAGGATCTCACAGAAGAAATGGTTGATGACATTATGGCCACAGAAGGGGAGGCGCCAGACAAGGATGGACTGCAGCAGAGAGTTGGCAAAGCCCTTCCCCCAGCTTAGCACTGCCATCTGCACGCAGAGCTGCCCGTTCATGAGTTCTGAGTACCGAAGTGGCTGGCAGATAGCCACATACCGGTCGTACGCCATCACGGCCAGAAGCAGGCACTCCGTAGCACCCAGTGCCAGGGTCATGTACATCTGCAGGGCACAGCTGGGGAAGGAGATGGTCCTTTGGATGTCCAGGAAGTTGACCAGCATCAGAGGTATGAAGGAAGAGGTCCCGCCGATGTCTATGAGAGAGAGGTTGCTGAGAAAGAAGTACATGGGGTTGTGCAGGTGGGGGTCCAGCCCAATCAGCCCCACAAGGAGGGCGTTCCCCACTAGCGTGGCGCAGTAGATGCTCAGACAAAGCACAAAGAGGACTATCTCTAGGCTGTGGTGCTCGCGGAGTCCCAGCAGGACATACTCGGTCACAGCTGTGTGGTTTGCCCATCCCATCTCCTTCCTCCTCTTGCCACCTGGACCACAGTAGCTCTGGCTGCCCGGGACCTGCAGCAGGTCAGCCTCTCTCCAGAACTGAGTTCCACCAGCTGTAGAGCGAGAGACCTGGACTTTAGATCTGCAGCTGGTTCTCTCAGCCGCAGTGCTGCCGATATAGACGGGGGGGGGGGGGGGGGGGGGGGGGGGGGGGGGGGGGGGGGGTGAGGGGAGAATGTG